CATTCAACTAAACAACCCCTCTGCCCCCTGCAGTCTGTCTGCTGCCGGAGGATGGAGACGGGGGTGGCAAGTTAACAAGGGGCATGCGTTTTGTCATCTTGCTAACAAGTGGGACGACATCGCCTACTGCCCACGTCTTTAAAACCCCACACCCCCACCTTTGGACTGATGATATTGTCCCGTTCTAACACTCTCTGCAGTATTCACCAGGACTTGTAAATTGAGTTTGACATGTAAAATCAGGGGCACAATCCCCAGATATCCCAATCGAAATGAGTCTCATCTCTCTTCCTGAGAGACAAGGATGAATCTGAAGACTTATCAAATTAAGGCTCACACCTACGGTTCTTATAGGAGATACATTTAATTCTTCACGATATGACTGGTGTTGGGTCGACACCCTCCCTTTTTTTTTCGGACAAAGCAAAACAATCCACATTCACACACTAGCTCGTAAAGTCTTTAGACAGAAAACAATACGTCTTTGGATTCTATTAGGGAAGCGCCAACCTCATAATGTTTGCCTGCGAATCATGCAGCAGTAATAGGTAAATGACTGCCCTTAGGGTGGCTTTTGAATGGGGAGGCAGAATAACTAGAGAAAGAATATGAAAAGTGGTCCCTATTACAGTGTCCTTGTTCTTTTTAACCGTGTCCTTTAAGTCACAAGATGTTGTTGAAGCTGTGGTGCACGTTGGCAGACTGTTGACTCATGAACGCTCTCTTCTAAAATCACAAACATCCTCCTCAAGTAAACAAGTGTTTTTCCACTGCGTGGAAGGGTTTTGTTAGCATCTCCGTCCTGTGTTTTGTTGGCTCATGATCAACAAAATACTACGATTAAGTTGTGTGTTGATGGCGAGACTTTTGTGGGTTATACACTGGCTTCAGGCAAAGATGACGATTGAACGTTTTGTTTTATGTTGATTTAAAGTTGGTTAGCCTTTGTAGGTGAGAACCATTCGCTGGCTAGCCTTGTAATGTAAACAGAATATCTATTTGTGCAGGAACAACTATAAATACCGTCCGATGTTTAGATTTTAATGCGAGTCAGATTTAACATGGATGCTGGGGAGTCTCTCGACGCCTTAAATATTGGTCGGGTTACTATAACGAGCGCTAGGAAACCCGTAGTCCTGCTTACGAGTCATTTATGACCCTGTGTGGTTTTCTGCTGTAATAGCACTTTGTGTGGAGTGCTGAGACGAGGACAAACTGTATATTTAGCATCCGGCCAGCAGTCTCTCGCTGTGTGATTAATGAGCGAGCAGACAGACAACCAGGGCGCATTCTAATCACCCACAAGGACAAGGAGTGATAGAGAGAGACAGAGGGTGTGAACAAAAAAAACTCCTTACTAATGGCCCCAACAGCCTGCAATCTACAAGACAAGTAACTGAATCAGCATGAAAAGCCCACCCTAATGATCACTCAACATTCCCATCGGTCTAGCTTTCTTAAAATAAACAGACGGGCAAGAATAAGCCATAACGTGGTGCGTGAACTTATTATGAGACGATGTCAACGAGGCGATTGTAGATTTTCTACATTTCTTACTTTTCACAAAATATGTAAGTCAATGTTTTTTATCCAACCATTGACATACAGTGATGGCACCTCTTCAGTTCATACTGTTGAGTTTGGAAATACTACTTTGAACCCCCCAAAACGTAAACGTATCTAACAGGCAGACTTTTTTCCAGGACTTTCAATCGAATTAGCAAACGGTGTCGTCACAAACCACTAATGAAGATCATGAAATTAATTTGAAGGCCAAAAAAAACAAAAAGTTTTTATTTTCCACTATAACACAGATGCAGCATTCTTTACATTGCACATAATGTAACTTCTACGTATATTTAAGCTTGCATTAACCATTAAACAAAAAAAAAAAAAAAAAAAAACATGAACTGAAAGCTGATAAAAGTCTCCTTAGAGCTGAGGCAAACTGCAGATTTATAGTTCATACAGTAATTGTTTCCATTGTTGGAAAAAAAATCATTTAATGCAACTGTTCATTTATTTTTCAGCCCGCTCTTACAAATGATCTTGTCATTCTTCATTCGTCAATTGGTGCGTTCTTGTGCGTGCAACAACAACGCTTTTCTTGCTTTTTGCATGTCATTCGTGCGCCATGTCGTCTGTACTGACTTGAATGTGCTACTATCGGAACAAGTGATGTAGTATAAATGAGAGGGACCACTTATGGTGGAAGTGAGTCGGTCAAACAAACACAGGACTGTTAACCAAGAGAGTTGTACTGATCGATACCAAATATCTTGTTGACAGACATTTCTTTTATAATGAATAAAGTTCTATCTTACTTAATCTATTTATCTCATCTTTCATCCGTTCATCTTTAAATTCACTGACATTTACATCCTACATCTACAGTATTTTCAGTTTTCCCATGATAGTCCGAGTTGCTTTTCAGGCTCATTTACTCTCAGTGACTTCAACATGGCAGAGTAAACAACAACAACTGCCATCAATCACATTCTGCAGAGCTGCAAGCAGAGAGCCGATATCAGGCCATACATTTGAGCATTTGGAAAAAAAAACAACTCTGTTTCAAATGAACGTGCACATTTGGGAGCACAGCCAGAGCCAAAGGCGTCTTACTTCCAGTTTCCGCCTCCCTGACTTCCCACATATTTTGGCTCTGGGATAAATATTCAACTGCCAGTCACAACCCAGTGAAGCCAGCCGACGAGTCAAAAGCAAGATGCTTTCATTAGCTGTGATCTGCAGGATAAATGTAAAATGAAGCGTGATGGTATAAAATTGGTGCCCTATTACTTACTGTGAGGAAGTGCTGGGTTTTTTTCAGCCAAGTACCTCCTCACCAGTGCAAAGCATTCTGGTTAAAAAAAGCCTTTATAATGAGGTACGCTACAGCGTCTGACAAACTTTTTACTGAAAAACACTTATTTCTCTGCTAAGTTTCAATGTCGTATCCACTTTCTTGATTTTCGTCAATCATCGAAACTTCTTCAGAACAAACGTAATCATGAATGTGAGGCAGTTAACAGGTTGCAGCAGGTAACGATCGCAATGAAGATCAAACCCTTCAAGCATGCTGCAAATGCCCTGAAACAAGTACGGAAATAAACAGTAAGGACCCTATGATGGTATCCTTGGTGAAATGACCATATATGGGAAGATGGGCTCAAATGTAAATGTGTTAAAGAAAATGTCCCAAGTCGTGTTTCTTATTGGTTCAAACTCACAGTCTTGAGAAAAGTTTACCTTATGAAGTGCATTGGTCGCCATCTGTTTTTGTTGCAAAATTAAGACTAATTTAATGGCAAAGTTGAGTTTTCTTGTATCAGTTATATTAGAAAGAATAACGTTGTTTATCTCCTTATTAAAAAACGTTAACTAGAAATAAAAAGCTTTTATAGCCCAGAAGAGACTTTATGTATTTTCAGTTTCCGAATCTCTCTCATCACTCCCATTTCCTCCAAATGAAAATCCTGTGTGGGATGTATTGCCAAAAGTCACCATAGATTTCGATGATGTATCCACTGTCACTTTGTGCATTAACGCTGTGACCTTTTCTTCCTATTTCAGAAGCAATGTGGCCCAAGCTGGTAAGAAAGATGGATACGTGGAGGATGAAATCTGTCACGAGGAGAGAAATTGAGCAGGTCTCTCCACCGTGGCGGCAGCACATATAACCCACTGCAAATAACTCCGAAATGTGAAACTACCACATGCCATCAGACAAAAGTGTAATATACTGAAGTTAGAAATGCACTGGAAGTGATCTGGAGGAGAAGCAGAAAGAGGTGGGAAACATTAAGAAATGAGTTGGGACAGGAGGAAAGAGTGAAAGGAACACGGCTCTCTCGCAGCGGAGGAGAGATCGACTTCTTTCTTCATTTGTGTTCTTTTGTCTGAGCCGTTACATAATAGATCAGCTCAAAATGTGGATTGATTACGCTGTCACTGCCAGTGTTATCCCCCTTTTGAATGCGTTTAATATTTGATTCGGTTTGTCATTCGTGCTCTCGATTCTTTTTGCGACGCAATTTGGCTCCACTGTCACTGTCAATTCATCTGGTACAGTCCTCACCGTCATTAGCTGAATGCAATATTGAAGGCTTGTAAGAATGCTCGGCACAATTACTCAGTTTTAAAATGTGGTTTTAATCTTTTTCTCTTTTTCCGTACGTATATGGGTCATTTTTCTGCAGAACAAGTACACTTACTTTTATTAATCAAACGGGAAATTGCTGATGCTTCTGTATTTTGAATACTTTTATTATTGTAAGAGTATTTTTACTTTTTTCTTTCATAGTGTTTAAAAGTCTGCGTTTCTCCCTCCAGACCAGAAATGTAGGCTTTTCTGCTGGGCATGCATCTCTTTGTCTTGCACGGCAGCTGGGTTTAGGTGTGTGAGACGACACGGAGAGACGACAAAACAATGTCGGCTAGCATAGTTAGCGTAGATGCTGCAATAGCATCAGTTATCTTGTATTTATTATTGAAAGAAGAGCAAAAAGAAAAAACAAAGATTTTTTCTCCTGACTGACTTTGGCAATGATCTCCATACCTGAGGCTGTACATTGTTATTCCCCCCCCCCCAATCCCATCACAGCCCTCCAACTCCAGGTATTTACTGCCTTCAGCACCAGACACACAGTAGCTCGGTCAAGCACCATTGAGCCCACAAGAGAAGGGTATTCATGTAGGGAGCACCGCTTGGCCTTTTCCAGTTCAGTTTAATAGTAAAATCAATCATTTTACATTCATGAAAATGTGTGTATGAAGTGCTACGGTCAAACTGGAAAGAGTGGCGTTTCATGAACTGAAAGTTTGATGTATAACCTGGGAACATCCAAGCACGGATGAAAAAGTCGAAACAAAAACACAAACACAAACAGATAAATCCTTAACATTTTGCCAGCAACTCTGGACTTTGAAGGCACTAGGACCCTGTGGATGCACACACATCAGAGATATGCAATCTTTACTTGATTGTGATGAATAATTAATGTGTTTGGATCATTTCATGCCGTGGGCTACTCGCCAAGAGAGGACAGCTGAACTCGTTTTTTTTTGCAGCAGCTTCCTGCGTTTCATTTTTTTTCTCCGGTGGATTTCTACACCGAGCTGGCGGGACTTGGATATGTAAATCCCCAAGGACTTGGATGTGAAAGAGATGCAAGCACATGCTGTGCTAGTCTCTTGGCACCTGAATTCCTCTGCAGGAGCATATGTACGTGGGAACGGATGCATGGCTTCAGCCCGCTGAGAGGTGAACTGCATGCTGGGACGGCGGAGGGCTGAGAGAGAGTCTTCCCTGGCTCGCGTAGCCATGGCAGCGACGGTGAGAGGTAAGGGGTGCCATCTCTTCAGATGACCTCCATTTGCTGCGGTGCAAAGTGCGGATGACAGTCGTCGTCATGGTATCTGGCGGGAAAATTTCCCAGCCAGTTAACAGCATGGGGGGAGGGGTGGGGCGACCGTTCGACAACATGAGCTGCAACGAGGGGCTGAGGAGTAGCTGTGATCCATCCACCGACACACACACTGCATCAGGCTGCTTAAACAAGATATGACACATGCCTCGTTCCCTTATGCCAGCCCACCACGAGTGATCAGGCGACTCTCGCAGCGCTGTTCTAACTGAAGCACACATTTGAAAAACACCTCCATCGCCATGTTTCATTATTTCTGCGTTTAAAAACAGCCATAGCTTCTTTTGTCCCGGTCTACCTTCACATTTTCTGGACGTGAAGAAACACACTTGTGAACTACTTCCACCAGTTATGCTCCAGAAATAAACCCGGACAATGTTACCAAAAAAGTATTTGGGAATGCATGAGCTGTGACATGGAATTTTAAATGTGATCTTATAACCGCAATTCATATTTGATGGGGAAATAGAACATGAATTTTTCACTGGGCAGAGAGACGGGGGACACGAAGATCTGCGTGGTTTGTATTCGCTTCACTCTAAATTTCACATTTAGATGTGACTGCTCTGTGGCACGCAGGTGCACACACACACACACACACACACACACACACACAGTCGTGTTTTCATGACTTTTGGGGACATTACATTGACTCACATTCATTTTCTAGAGACGTACCCGAACCATAATTGGTATACCTGCCTAATCCTTACAACACTTTAAGTGACTGTGTAAACAATTTATGTCCCCATAATATGGGTAAAACATGCCCACCCACACACACCCAGGTCTCTATATCTGGTGACTATGTGGCTCATAGCTGTTTAAAAAGAGACTCTTTCCATAAAAGGAATAATTTGACATTTTGGGAAATATGCTTATTTGCTTTCTTAGCAAATAAGCATAGAAATCAATCTTCTTAAATGATAAGATTGATACCACTCTCATGACATGTGTGGTGAATATATAGCTGACTAGCCGCTGGTTAGTGTAACTTAGCATAATTGTATTAAATGGCAAATTCTCTTTGGAAACTTCGGAGTTTGCACAGATGAAACAAAAAGAGATATAAGTTGTTAGAGAGCTCTAAATGTATAGTCGGCCGACTTTGTTACATTGGCACAGAGATAGGCTAGCCATTTCCCACGTTTCCAGTCTTTATGCTAAGCTAAGCTAAGCCAATTGTCTCCTGGCTGTAGCTTCACATTTGCCATTTACCACAAAAATATGTGTTACTGAGCTGCTCATTAAACTTTTAGCAATAAAGTGAATGAGAATACTTCTAAATATGTCAAACTATTTCTTCAACGCCACATATCACAATGTGGTGTCCATACGGATCCTATTCTAACCCTACCTTCCCTTTTTTTCCCTCTCCATGTGGTGACGCATCTTTAAGAAGTACAGGTTACTGAGGACAGAGCATTTGTTTTCAGATACAGGCCCATGAAGAGATTGTCTTCTATTTAGACGCTGCGCCGAAGTGGTTTCATGAAAAGAAATATTCATTCCAAGGCTGCTTATCACCCAGCAAATGTCGAGAAATATTAATATGTAACATCCTGCAGGGCTCTCCAGGACACTTGCCATTGCTCCGGAGAGGGAGAGAGCCTGGTGTTATCGAGGCTTGGCAGTGTGACTTGGTGATGGTATCGGCCACGCTGACTCTGGATTCCATTAGGCAATGCCCACATCTATGTCTACTGAACATATTGGCTCACACCGCAGGGGAAAACGCAGCGAGTGATAGGCCTGCAGTGATGACACATGAGCTATCATCCACCATCCAGGAAGGCGTATCAGCACATACACGTTTACTGCAGACCTGATGCTGAGCTGCAAAGATTTCAGGAAGTCTCTCTCATACAAATCATACATAACTGAAAAACGCAGCACTTATAGATGGAAATATTATTTTTCCCCCTTTTTACACCCTGACTACTTCCACAAGTGCCCAGATTTCTCAACACTAATAGGAAGTCTTTTTTTTTTTGCCCCCCCCGCCTTTGTAAACACAAAGCTGCTGATTTAAGCAGAAGATTTGCATTGAAAAAATTCAAAAAACCGAACACGGGTATAATGAGACAGCAGATAAAGGATAAGTAATGAGAGGCAGTTCCCTGTTAAATGCAGTGGTCCTTGGAGGTCATAGATGCCGGTTTTGACGGCGCTAAACTGTGAATCTGCATCACGCTGTTGTTTTAATGAGCCCCAAACTCACAAAGTCATCAACTATTAAATGGAAATCAATGGGTTCACCTGCGAAGGTTTGGCAGCATCAACGCTGTTAGCCTACATGGACAATGAATATTAACAGATTTCAGAGGTAAGAGGAAATCAATATTCAACATTTATCGGATATATAAAGTACACAAACTTATACAAGTATACAAACTTTCAAATCTTCTTTCTTCAAAATTCACTGTCTTGCTTAGAGTTAAGACGAAAAGGTCAATACCACTTTCATATCGTTACGTTGGTAGTTGCTGCTCCTTGCCAAAAAAATAGTCCTTCACGTAACCCACTGTACACCACATTTTCTTGTGTTGACAGTTACGTTTTTGTACAGATTCAACAAAAAACACAGAACGGGTTAATTAGTGAGCTTTAAATGTGCTTGTAGGCTGCTTTTATTTGCTTTGGAAAGAGCCAAGCTAGCTCTTTCCCCCCCCCCCCCGTTTCCAGTCTTTATTTGCCTGCAGACATGAGAGTGGTGTCGATCATCTCATCTAACTCGCAGCAAGAAAAAGAACAAGTGTATTTTATTTTATCCGTTGGAATTATAATAAATGAAAATTAATTAAAAAAAAGAAAGACAAAAGCATTAAACTTCTTGCACTTTTCACAGATTTTACAGTTTCTTAAGATGAGATAAAACTGTATTCATCACAAAGTAAATTGTTGTGCTGCCGTCGCAGTACAAATTAGGAAGGGGTGTTAGATAATTAAGTGCAACGAAAACAAAATCTAAACAATAAAGGTCATAAATGAGGTGCAAATCCACAATATACACATGCCAAAAAGTTACAGCAATGATCTTAAAATAAACTACAATGGCTGCACAATGCAGGGCTGAGATTTAGCAGTGTCCAAAGTAATTTATCTGCTGTGGAAGGCAGCTATGCTACGTGTCATCACTTGAACAGCCACATATATCCTCTGTTTTTCTCTCCGTGCTTCTCTCTTAAAGTCTGCTTTGTTGTGAATGTGGGTGTTCATTCATTTTCTTCTGTGGCAGCTTACGGGCCCAGGCTTGAGTTCACAGTTCTCCCATAGCTCAGACAAACACATTGTGTAGCCTTTAAGGATTATCTACAGAGGCAACAAGCTTCGGAGACACAGCCAAACAAAATCCTAATTACGCCGAATGCGCTGTGCTCTTTTGGCAACATGGTGTTTCCAAAATGTTCCGACGTGAGCAACTGGGCTCAATGACGTGTTGTGACAACAGATATGAATCTTTAGCATAAATAGAGCACGCTGAAGCGTCAACCATAGAAACATTTTAACACCTCCAGAATCCAAAGACAAACCTCTGTCTCACAGCCTGGGTCGGTTGTGGCTTTTACAAATTCAGGCCTTTTAATTGCACAGTGAACTGTTCACCAGTTTAAATATTTAATAGAGGGAGTGTGGAAGTGTGTAGTTCTGTAATAACAGCAATACAGTGAAAGTATATGGAGGGAGGTGCACGTGTGATACGAAAAGCAATACCATCTTTGCAAGCAAAAGTTCTCAAAAATATATGCACGTATACTTTTAAAACTCTTTATCTAAACATATTTACTATAAACTCTTCATAAATGGTTGATGTTTAATTTTGAATTTGTCTCAAAAGCTTGAAAAAAAAGGCAAGATGGACAATTTAACCAGTATTTATTCGAGATTTATCTTTGTTGTCAACATAAATGGTCTGAAAATTAAATTATTTATGTGAAAACAGCCATCTGGTTCTAGCAGTTATTAATTTGTGCTGCCTCCATTCATACACTCAAGCATTCATAAATGAAATGCAACTTTTCAATACATAAACTAAAACTCTTGTGTTTTAACTAATAGCGGCAGTGTTAAGCAATGCATAATGTGGAGGTCACCATATTGTTAGTAATGTAACACGATACACATTTCTGCAGAACGCAGAAAAAAAGAAAAGCTAGCATTGCACCAATGAAAGAGGAGAAGACTGTAAGTTTGCTGAAAAAAATGAACATAAAAACCCTTTTGGCAAATGCTTTATGGCGGTATGAAAGGCATTCAACGTGTTTGCGAGGCTGGATGCACACGGTGTTCCGTGAGAAACTCTGAACACAAACAAAAGCCTGTTTACTTGGAATGATTAAGTGCTTTAAATTTAATGCAACTTGAGAATAGCTCTACTGAATATATTAAAAAGTAGATTTTTACAGCTGCTCTCTAGCTCCCAGCGTGAGCCGTCTGTAACCGGGTGATCTCTCTTCTCTCTTCTTATCTCTCATTAGGACGGTCTCACTCGTGTCGTCGTGACAGCCAAGCAGCCCAGCAGCCATGTGACAGCTCTGGGAGAGCAAGGCGGCCCGATAGCCGGATACTGTCGAGGAGGTATGCTCGTCAAGGGGAACAGGAGGCTGGTGTTGGACACGTTATCCAACGGATACACATGTGGTGTGTCTTGCATTTCAAGTTGCCTTGTAGACTGTCGGTAAACATGGTGTCTGATCAACAGCCTGTTTAAAAGAAATTACTACGAGTTTCAAGAGGTAAATCTGCCACTGTTAACACTGTTAAGTGGTCTATTTGTGTCGAGAAAGAAGGGAAAGATTGACAGGGCTAGCAGGAGTAAGGAATGGGAGCGGGGCTCAATAAGGTAGCCATCTGGAAAAATATATGTTAAGGAATATAGTAATTTATGGTAGTTTAGTTTATGGTAAACGCATTAAAAAAAACGTTCCATTTCAAAGTAAAAAGCAAGCCAGTGTAGAAATGCTATTATGTTTACAAAGTGAACATTAATTCCTAAAGCCTTGTAAGATGCACTGATGCGACTGTGAGCAAAAAAAGAAAGAAAAAAAATCAATAGTACATAAATGTGACTCACCATTGACTGACTGGTGAAGTTTCCCTTTCAGAAGTTGCTTGATTTGTACATGGCTGAGGGGAGAAACGGTCCAGTCATCCAGGAAATAAGAGAGCAGCCAAGTGATTTAGAGAGGAGAGTCTCCGTCAGGCATCCAGTCCACCTGAGACGGAGATCATTCTGGGTGTTCAGCAGCCCGTTGATGGATAGACGGACTTCTTTTATTGCTTTTTCTGGCCTTTGATCATCCCATTGTAGACGTGCTATTTCATGTTTTATCTGCACTGCAACGTTATTTGCTATATATATTACATTGTGTACCAAGAGACCTGTGGTTTCAGGAAGTAACTTCCAGGAGAGTTTGTTCTTTTCCCTTTTGGTTCTATGTGTTTGTTTGAGAGGGAGAGATCATGCCTCTGGTTGATTAAACCTCTGCATCTCAAACTACCTCATGGCCTTGTTGTTTATTGGCAGGCACTTCAGAAAAATGCACTCACATGTGCACTGTACACACACACACACACACACACACACACACACACATTAACAAACCCTATACCGACACCCTCAACTCTATTGAGCTTTGCTTCGTAATGAGCGTCTAACAGTAATTTAAGGCCATAGCACTGACACCATATTGATCTCGGTGGACAGGGCATGAAGAATACCCACAAATCAGCGCAGAAGTGTTCAATTGCTTCCCTCATCAGATAAATCAGCAAGGCCACACATCCATGTCTTCTCCATTACAACAATGTTCTATTTCATGTCATGTTTTATACTGTGCCTCAAACTGACCCCACAATTTGTGTGGTTTCCACCAATGATATGTTTGGCCATATTCCACAAAATGGGTCCTTCCTCTCACCTGTGTAGTAGGATTGACATCGCAGGGTACTGAGTTTTTTTTAAACTCAAAACTGTTCCCTCAAACCTTTTGCCTCTCTTGCTCCTGCTCTGTGAGGCATCACACACTCATTTGTAAATACCAGTATGCAGTGTGTGCGTCTATCAGGTTACATAAATTCTGTATATTCACACTTTGCAAACATCTTACCTCCTGCTACCATCTGGCGCTGCCAGCGTTCAGGGTGCTTTGTGCAGATTTATAGGTAGTCACGAGTGGTGAACTGAGAGAATGTCAACAAAATTAGCAGAAAAGGTGGCTGCAGGTGAACCACCAAATATAATGAACGCTGCAGTGGAACGAGTTTTTAAAGAGCGTGGGGAGGTTTTAGGCCAATGTGCTAATTAAGATATTTTTTCATAGTTCTTGAATGGACTCCATGTGTAATCTGCCACTATGCCATGCTGTTTTACTGCCTCCGTCACTCTGCCCTGATCAGAATACTGAGGAAGCCTTTTAACAGAATACAATGGTAGAACTCGCCTCTAAAAACTGAATAATCATAGTTTCACTGAAGTTCTGCCCCCTAGTGTCCCCCTTGCACCAAATTAGACGACCCCCTCCATTGGGTCCCCCGCAATACACCCACCAAGTGTGGATAAACAGATCGAGATATGCAAAGAACACAGAGAAAGACAGAGATTCCTTGCTTTATAGTTATACCAAAATACCTTTAAATATGAATCTATGATACATCAAGTGTTCTCCATAATCATAACATAAACGGAAACAATCTCAGAGATTAATTCTCTTCATTGGTATAAATGATACGACAGTATAAAAACACGTCACGTACAACCGTGCGCCCCTTCGTGTAATGTCGTGAATGTAAATTTTGTGACACATTACTGCGTCTGGTAGCATAAAATCCTCCAACACAGAGCCTCTCTATTTCTCCGCAGGAGTTCCCTCTTCACCTGGAGCAAAGCTCATTTCACTGGAAAATTGGCTCCACCACTCAGCAGCCCACTCCTTCATTCTCTCCGCCTGCCTCTCTAAATTCAGCCGTTATTGTAGTGCCTTAAGCACTAATCCAATTAGCTATATGAAGCTATCTCTCATTTTAGCTTGTCACCTGTGCGCGGGGCGAGGGGGAGGGGAAGCAACGTGTTTTATGGGGATTGGGACTCGAGGAAATAGATGATACCCAGCGTGGACATTTTTTTACAAGCTAGCAGACGGGGAGTTTTGACATTAAAATGAACCATCATCAGGAAATGACTTGGCAGTTGTATTAAGAGAGTAGAACTGCAGTAAAAACAGGGAAATCACAAACATGTCTCCACCCCCTCACCCTCCCCTCCTTCTAACACCTGCAAATACATTTGCTCATGGGCTCAAATGTTCTGATCGCCCTTCAAGGCTTCACAATTTGCTGATTAAACTTGAACATTTCACTCCGCTGACTTGTTTGACCCTCAAGTCTGTGGCCTCAGGTGGACGCTCAGATTCTTGGCCCGGCGCCGATCTATTAGACACTGTAAACATATCTTCAGCTACAAAAGCACTTGCCCCAGGTCGCCCTTGGCAGTCAGACAACCACGCAGAAGCCACATCTCTCAGAATGCTTCACTTAATGCCAGATGGTGTCAGCGCTCACAATGCCCGAAAACAGTGTGGGCGGTGAATTCAGAATGTACCTGCAGCGATGATTTAAAAATGAGTAAATGGATGGGGTGACTACCACTTTGCAGTTTGGAGGCCCACTGAAAAACAACTATTTGAGGTCAGTAAAAGCGACAGAATGTGATTGGGTTTATTCCGGCATAAATCAGCTTCTCCACTGTGAACTTGTTGCCACGTCTTTTGGATGAAGGTAATAAACTACATCAAGTTTTGGGCAATGAGATTGGAGAGAATCATATCTTACTGAAGCACGTTTTATATGAATGCATTTGTTTCGGGCTTTTATTGTGGAAGGTGAGAACGGAGTTATTGGATCTGAATTTTCTTGCCTTTGTCAACTTTCAAAGGAATAATAAAGTTTGCTGTGTTGGATCGGACTTCTGAGCCTCTGTGTCGTCACATGATTAAACAACTTAATTGGTTGACGCATTTATTTGCAGAGAAAAAAAAAAAAGTATTTTTCGCTGCAAGATTTTCTCTTCTTTTTGTAAACCCACATTGAAAAACAATGTTAGCAAACGCCCAGTCAGATCAGCGGTGGCTGCAAATTTTAGACACCAGGAGCTTGGTGACATAACCGTTTACATTCTTTGTTACACTCATCGAAACTGGTTGTGTGCATCTTTGAGATTTAACAATTCCAATACACTTTTCAACTGGCCAATGGCCAGGCAGGAGGCTGCAGTCCATCAAGACCAAAGCACACGCTGCAACAACAGCTGCAGCTGGTCTTGTTAACAAGGCCCGGGACCCCCACTGACACTGACTCATCCTACCCCATGGACACTGCACATCACATTAACGCCATGTCTTCATATCTAACTCAATGTATTGGCTTCTGCAGTATTTGTTTTTTTATTGCATCTGTCCTCTTTCTCTTGTTTTGTTTATTGATATCCAGCAATATAGCAAGACAAATTCTTTGTTTGTGAAAACCTACCTGGCAATAGACAAAATCAAATATTTTGATGGCGTGATTTTGCACATCAGAGTTGCACCGTGAAAATGTCCTTTACCTCCACGAGCGATCCAACGATTGCAGTGATTCCACTGAAGGGAAAAATTGAGTTGATTTGAATCCAACATTTGCAGATATAAATGCTGGTAAATATCAAACCTGTCACTGACAGTGGTGCTGTGCTGACAACCACTTCTCATTTTTATGATAGCAAACGCATAATTTCTGCCAAAAAATGTGCCAAATGAAGCAACATATAACCTCGACTTTGATGTTCAAATTTGCAGACAATATGTGTACTAAACTTCAAAATAAAAATACAGATGGGGCTTTGAAAAATGTTTGACATTAGTAAAAAAGCGTCTGACTAAGGCTCCCTTGTCTTCTATGGAAAAGTGACGTTGGCCTCTTTCCCATTGCGACATGTTAAAAGCACCTCAACTCTGCAGGGCCTGACAATGGCCAGCGCACCATTGTGGGGGACAAAAGGGATGTATTTCTATGTCAAAACCCTCCCTAATGCAGGTTGCCTGCTGCACAAAACCCTCTCTATTCTCTGGTATTTTTGCATGAAGGGCTGGTGAGATATTTGTAGCTTTGTGCTGTTCTGACTGTCGCCAAAATCCCCATATAGCACTGGCAGACCTTGCCTCTGGTGCTGCCTGCCTCTTTGACAGCCCAGTGCCATGTCATGATGACAGTTCTGCCTTTTGCCCTCTGAGCTTTTGTGAGCGTATATAGCTTGTGGTGGAGTGGAACATGATGAAATGGACGCACAGGGAACAAATACCTTCTGGTGATTCAGTCTGTTTCAACACCGGTACATGACTGTAAGGTGCTCTTGAGAGGTCAGCTGAGGCTACCTCCTGATGCCATTTTCTTTTTAAAAGTTACAATACAGTATGAAAGCTGATGTTCCGTTCATAAGATAGAGGTTTGGTTGTCCGTCTTCTACGACAGGTAGAAAGAACGTTCAAATGTACTCAGGAGAACATCACCTGTTCCCCAGAATGTGCATTAATAGGACCAGCAGAAATAAACACAGAACACAAAAAGGAGAAATTGTCATAAGTGACTTATCAAAAGCCGTCAGCGATCAAACCTCCATCAGGCGCTGCTTTCACAGATGGCAGCAGATGTTACTGCTGCGTTCCTTCATCAGAATTAATGCAATTTCCTTGCAGATCACAAATTCAACTGTAGTGCATTGTCAGACTCCAAAACAAACGCTTTGGCTTCAAAGAAAGTGTTTGAATGCTTCCCGTTTTATTCTATTGTGTCAAGGAGAAGATGGGGCCCAACAGCTGTGTGCAGGACAAACGCCAATCCTCATGATGTCTCTGGAGGGAGAGGGAATGAAACAGAGAGGACTAATTGAGACCAAAGTCCACCCCCTGCCATGTGCGAGCTGCCACTCTCTTGGCTGAGGACACTAACTGCCTGTAATTACAGTGCTGGAGAGCAGCGGTTTCTCAAGCTAATGTGCAATCGCAGGTTTGGAACCTGACATTAAAGATAATCTAACCATATGTGGTTCACGCAAGCATCCTTGTAAATATAACTGTGTTGCTGCTGCCTCCCTCCAATCACTCTTTTTGTGCCCCTGCTGAAAAAAACAACCACTTTCACGCCACAAAAATAACATACGACCAAATCTGCAAAACACCACATATTTTTCGAAGCAGAAACATCCAGAATGTGTCACTTTTTTTTTTTTTTTTTTAACTTTGCACCAGCGTGAAGGATACTGTATACACAAATACATGGCTCTCAATATTTGATATCTGCAGCAGAAGGTATACTGTTCACATCAGCAGGTGCTGAATAATTTAGAGTGAGGTGAATGGTAGTGCAACAATCATTTTAACAGATGGCTAAAATCAGCCTGGGATAAGTGCCCCTGTCATGCAAAGTCACTTTTACACCATTCTTTTTTTGTCTTTAACTTAATTATTTCCTTATTCGAAATGAAACAGGTTCAGAAACCACATGCCAAATACTTACCGGACTAACAGCCTAACAATGTTTATGCGGTTTCGTGTGCAGCAAGGCACAGCATGGTGGGGAGATATGGATCCCTTGAGGTCTCTAAACTGTCACTGGTGCTTTGTATAGAGCTTGGTATTCTGGGATTTCCACTGATGCTTGTCCTCTGTAAAAGGCGAGCTTACTAACTTTACACTGTAACATTAAAAATCTATGACAAAGCCCACGTCAGTCTAAATGTCTAAAAATGTTTTTCCTCCAACTGTCGCTTTTGATATCGTCTCCTAATGTCACAGAAAAAGAAAACCATGTATTCTTCTTATTTTTATTCATAACTGTAATTGCTCATTGATCTTGATGGGAAAAAAGTGATGACAAACTATTTTGGCACATCAAATATGATTTTTGAGTTTTACCCAGAATCGCAAGTGAGGCGATTTTGACCTAGTGGCCACAGTCAGTACTGCAGACACAGGATGCACTGGTCCATAACAACTTATTTCCCCACATACAATCATTAGAAATGGAACAGATGTAAATCATTTACTATATGTATCCAAGCATCACAAACACTAAAATAACAATTATATCCCTTATGTCCAATAAAATTGGAAATTGGAGGAGATCCGTATCAGCCAGTCAATTATTTCATGCCATTCGTATGTGCAAGAAGTCAGGAAGTTAAAAAACAGGAATAGGA